CTGAAGGATGAGGGCATAAGAGAAGCCAATGAGCAGCAGATCAAGTCCCACCACAAGCAGGATCACAAAGAGCCCATATATACGATTAGGTCTGGTGTGGTTACAGGCCATTTTTGCCACAGCCATGTGATCACAGTAGCTATGAGGAATTACTGTACGGCAGAAGGTCAACCTTTGAACGAGAAAGGGAACGGGGAGGACAAGAATCATCCCCTTAGCTAGAGCCAGCAGTCCCAGGCGTCCAACTAGGGAATGGCTCATAATTGTGTTGTACCGTAATGGCACACACACAGCCACAAAGCGGTCAAAGGCCATTGCAACAAGTATGGCTGATCGCACCACCGATGTTCCATGGATGAAAAACATCTGGGTGAAACAGGCCTTGGCAGTTATGTCCCGATCATTGAACCAGAAGAGGAAGAGAAGCTTGGGCACCAAGGCCAGAGTGGATATGAGGTCAGCCACCAACAGCAGAGCCAGGAGCAGGTACATGGGTGTGCGAAGTGTGGGCTCTATGACCACCAGGAAGAGGATAGCACCATTGCCAATGAGGATAGCCAAAAACATGGAGAAGAAAGTAACAGATAGCCATAAGTTCTGTGACTCTAAGCCAGGTATGCCCATCAGAGTGAAGGTCATGAAGCCGGAATGGTTGAAGATTAGCATGGTAGAAACATGGTGGTTGCTTAGGCACCTGCCAATAAGACATGGGTAATGGCTTGTTTTAATAGGTTTGGGTTATAATGACTTGCTGAGATATGGCCTAGAGCAGAGGTTCTCAACCTGTGGGTCATGACCCCATTGGACTATGTTAAAGGTTTGTGGCATTAGGAAGGTTGAGAACCACTGGCCTAGAGGATGATGGCAGAATGACTCCTTAGGATTATCAAATCCATAATCTGGTTTAAAGTGTACCTCTAAGTACCTACCTTGTTTTCACAATCATTACTTTATGAGTCTTTGTCTTCTTTTCTGTATAAGGGAAGTTGTACTGGAACTCTACTCTCACCGTTCCCAGTTTAACAATTCTATACTTCAATAAATATTTGTGAAGTGTGAGTAACTGAAGTAGGAGAAACCAACTTTATCCCAGACAATATGGAAGAGCCTGACAGTAGAGCTATTCCCTTCTCATTGAGGAGCATCCAAAATATATATAAAGAGAGAAAACATACTTCCTTACCCCTCATTCCAGGAGTGCAGACCTGTTAGAGGAAATCTGTAAGTTCCTTTGATTTTATTTTTTGTTTCTCTGGGAAAGGTCCACTCTTGGGTGGTGATTCCTTTCCTACCCATAGTGATTTCTGGATTTTTATTTTTGGACAAAATATAAAAGATATAATGTGCCAATAAGGATTATTTTCACTGAAATAATGTATATGTAACTTATATAATTCTATAATTGCCTTAAATAATGTAAAAATTGACTGTCTTCCACTTTCTCCCAGGGTATGCACATTTGCACTCTGCTAAACAGTCCTTGGAGGCTTTTGACCTGGCTCATACGTGACTCTCTAACACACTACAGCTGGAATTCATGTGTAAATTTTATTATCTTTAATTATAAAGTATTTACTTAAAATTAGTCCACTGAGGTACCCAAGAGTACTCATTGATTTTTCAGTTCTTATCATGAATTGAGCAGAATTTGACTCTCCTTTCACGATCTGCAGACAGTCTAGGCAGTAATTAAGTCAAGACCTCTTTCCACCTCTGTGGCACCTGCTATCTCCCCCTTCTCATACATTGTTCATTCCATCTATATATATTTTTTAGGTCATAG